TTTTTTCGGGGCGATGCGTGTAAAATGAGGACTTTTCGACAACCCAAGCCCGATGAAATTTAAATATAGATTGCGAAAATATTTGCCAGGTATCATTTTTAGTATTGTCATTTAATTGAGTCCTTACACTCAATATTTTATTTTAGCTCGTAACACAGAAACGTTGGCTGCTCGTGGAAATGTGGAAACCGACGAAACCGAGTGGCTTCGCCTCAGCGACACATCGTTAGAAAATCTGAAAGATCTCCTAACAGATGATGAGTTGGTTTCTGAGGAATTCGAACTTTCCACCGAATTAGCGTTTCCCAATCAGATGGAACCAACCATTGAGAAAAGGAGCTTACACGAAGATGCTTTGGAGTATATTGCGGGATTCGTGATAAGAAAGCTGGGCTTGGTGCAGTACGGAGCAAACGAGCCAACATTTACGTGGGTCGACAAAGTATCCAGGGGCGGACTAGTTAAGCCATCCAGTATCTTTCTGGATATTATAAAAAGCTTGGAGGTCGTATTCAAAAATTTCAGTGGTGGCCTAATTCGAATTTGTAGACCTTATCTGGCGACACTTATGGCATGTTCTGATCACATTGATATCAGTGTTGAGGTAAAAAGGCTGTTTTTTAAAACGCTTATGTACCAACTTATAAAGCACCTCAACAAGTCTCGAAAAAGTAAAGGACATTTCTCCTATTGAACCCAAGGTAAATGGTAATTTTAAATTTTCAAACACACATACAAAAATTAAAGTATTAATTATCTTTTAGCAAACAACTCGCCGCTTATTTGTCCTTTCTGCACCCAATAAATGTTCATACCTGTCGCAACAATGAGCAAAAAAATTGTAACATTTCAATTTTCTTCATACATGTACATATGCAGACCTAGTATTGGGTTTGCACCCCGTTTAGCCACTACACGACGGCATGACATATGTACATGACATGGTTATATCCCGCATAAACTGTTCCATGTTTCAAATAAAAGTTAAATTGTATACTATAAATATGTAAATGAAATGTTTACACATTTGAACTTTCTTTCCAGATTATGCACAAAGAATGGCCATCATAATAGCGCATAATGCTCGCGATGTGCCTGGTGTGAATACTTCAATTCACAACTGAACTTGTAAGGCATGCAATGTAGATTTCGAGGGATATAAAAATAATGCACACTTTATACAAAACGAAGTGGCAAACGCAACGGAGAGTACATAGAAAAGCTCTCCTGTTTCTAAATCCTAGTTTGACTTAGCAATTACTTCTTTATTTGCAGTAGATGTGGCAAACAACTGTATCCTGCCTAAAGATGATACACCTTTGGCTGGTTACGGTATTTCCGGTGTCAATCTATATATGTATACGTTTTTCAACCTCGAAAACTATTAACAGCTTGTGTATGAAGGTCTTTAGAAGTTACCACAAAGCATTCAATTATTGCATCCAACCATTTTAAACCCCACTACATGCATACGCAGACGAAAATCTTCAGACATATAAAGAAGACTCGAAAATGCCAGAGACAACATACGGAAAATGGTTTAGAAGAAATAAAGAGGATACTGTCCCCATCCGTCGACTTTTAAGCAGATGCGCAAGCGATATGTAATAGAAAACATTACCAAAAATTTACAGTTTTAAGGCAAATGTAATTCAAGTTAAGCTCTTCATGATATAATTTTTAAATGTAACTAATATAATTATTAACAAGACTGATTGCAGAAAATAGTAGAAAACAAAATGGAGGGACAACCTAAAGATTGGAGCAGAGGAGAAGCTTCCACCCACCTACTCCCTGGTATGCAGCCAACATTTCGAGCCGGAAGCTGGGGAGGGAAATACCTGAAGAAGGGTGCCCTCCCCACCCTCAACTTAGGTGAGTAATTTGTGCTTATATATATATGTATATATGTATATATTTATGTACGTATGTGCATGTACATGTGTGTTAATTTGGAGTTACTTTTTTTGTTGTGAAAACGATTTTTTATTAAAAAATACATTTGTTTTCAATGATTTGTACAAAAAAGTGAATTAAAATCGAAATGTCATATAAAAATTTCTGAGTTTTGTGATATTTTGGGAAAATTTTTAAATAGAAAATCCAAGTCAGATTTTTTGTGAAAATGATTGTTTTAGTAAAAAAAATTCAATTTTTTTCGGCGATTTGTGCAAGCAGCGTGAAATTAAATCGAAAATATTATATAACATTTGCCGGTTTTTTCGATATTTTATTAATGATGCAAATGGAAAACTCCCATAAGTGTTTGCGTTTTTTGTGAAAACATTTTTTGATTCAAAAAATCCTTTTTTCTGGTGCTTTCTACACATACCGTGAAAATAGATTTAAAATGTTATATAGAATTTTTTCGATTTTTGTAATATTTTGTTAGATATTCAATTATATTTATTGGTGTTAGATTTTTTTGTAAATAGCATTTTTAGAGAAAAAAATAATAATTATGTTCGTTTATTTGAACAAACAACGTTAAAATAAATCGAAAATTTGTTTTTGTTATTTTTATGGCCTTTATAACAATTATATTCAACAATTTTTATGAGCTCGAGGCCGAGCACACCTAAAAAGTTAAACATTCTAATAATAGAAATATCAGGGTGGGCAAAAAGTCGGAGTTCGAGCGAGCGAGTGAGCAAACTCCTACTCAATGCCTCGCAGACAACGAGGCGCTCGCAGCTCGTACTCGTAGCAGCAATGAGGCGAGGAACGAGAAGTTTGGCTCTCTCGCCAAACGAGCGAGCGCTGCTGGTTTGCTCGCGCTCCTATTAAATGAGCGAGGCTGTTGGGTGTTGCCTCGCTCGCAGTGCGAGGCGAGTAGCTATCTGCAGACTCACTCTGCTAGGAAAGACGAGTGAGCGACGAGCGAGCGCTACGAGTGTACTATACAACACATGCATTTTTGTGCATAAAAATGTGGGAATGTATGTCAATAGACTATGTACGAAAGTATGTTAATAATTGTATGTACATATGCATATAAATATGTGAATATTATATCGAGCCCTAACCGCCAAAATAACGTAAGCGACATTTTTTTCAAAATTTTATTTTTGATGCAGAAATGTACCTAGATGCTCTAGGAATATTTCTGCATCAAAAAGAAAATTTTGAAAAAAAATGTCGCTTACGTTATTTTGGCGGTTAGGGCTCGATATTAGGGCAGCTTTTAAAACAAACAAATAAAATTTATTACATACGTAAGCACAGATTATGGAATGAGATATTTTTTAGAGTTATATACATACATAACATGCATATTTATATATGTATGTATTTATGTATGTATGTACATATGCATGTATTTTGTCTTTACAGAGAAAAGTAAGTAACGAAGATAGTATAGATAATCGTTTGTGCCGCAGAAACAAAAAACAAGTAAGCACTTGTTAGCACCCCAAAATAACCAAAATTTGGCAACGCTAAGGCCAACACAAAGCGCGTGCGTCGGTCGCCAGCTGTTGCAAATAAATAAAATTATATGAAATGTTTTTTCCTTTTAATCAAATGAGGGCAAGAAATATAATTTTTCATGCAATTATTGATATGAAGTCTTAATTTATCTTTCGTTAATATGTTAATTTAGTGGCCAAAGTAGTATCTGCCAAGCTGCGTTCTATCAAACCAACGCTAACTACACAGTCAAAGCGAAAGTTCTATATGGACCAGCCTTAATTATCAAATACTGTTTAACACCCCAAATAGTAGTTTGTATTATACTACATACACACATATGTATGGGGACTAAACCAGGATTATTAATTTGAAAATGTTAATGTCCTACTCATTTATGAAATAAAAGACAAAAAATGATTTTTATAAATATTATATTCTCATTTATACATATGTAACATAGTTACTTAGCCGAATTACTTAGTTTCTAATTTATTTAATTGTTTAAATGTGCACATATTATAAGTTTAGTCTATATATGATACTTTGTCTAGAATATCATTATTTAATTTAACTATTAATAGATTGTTTAAAGTTTCTTTCGAGAGTCGTGTTCGCAATTTCGTTAAAATTGTGCCTAGAGCACTAAATGCCCTTTCAACGGAAACTTGTGTTGAAGGAACAGCGAGTACGACTTGTACTAACTGTCCAATGTCGTTATCATTTATAGAACGAGCTTTCCAATATTCAAGGATATCAGCTTCAAATGGGACCCTTTGCGTATAAGCAAGATTTTCTAATTTTTGCTTTAAATTTATTTGTAATGTGACTGCTGCGTAACTGCTTAGTAATCTGTCAAGTTGGTTATTCAACCTGAAAAAAGGTCTGCTCTGGCTTGTTGTTGGTGCTTCAATTTCACCCGCTTCTTCGTTGTTGGGTGGATTTCCAGCTAATTCTTGAATAGCTTCGAATGTATTAAGAAGGTGTTCCTGAAAATAATGAATAAAATGCAAAGTATGTAGCTAATATTGTCCTTCGCATATACATACATATGTACATAGGCATAGTAATATTAATATGAATCTTAAATATACATGTTTTTAGCGCACTTACCACTGCTTTGTATTTTTGAGTTTGGTTCAAATATGGCGAATGTAAAAAATTGAACCTAGGGTCGACATAAATCGCTGATAAAAATGCTTCATTTTGCAAAAGCACGGCTTTCCTCTGTTTTACCGTTCTTAGTAAAGTCGAAGCGTAATCGTATTGGCTTGAAATTAGTTCCTGTAGTTCCAGTTCGCAAGTTAGCCAGTCTCTATAAAAATCCCCAATAACATACTGTTCTGCTTGCAATTTAGTAGTACAATCCACAAGTGGTTTGAATGTCTGTAAAAATGCGTTGACAAAGCCCCAGTCAACATCTGGCATATTTGTGTCATTTTCCTCAATATAGCTCTTTACGTTAAGTAAGGAATTAAGCATCATATATGTTGAGTTTCAACGTGTTGCCTTATCCAATATCGGCACGTTGCTCGTACCGCGGAGAATGCATCTGAGAGATTTAACGGCTTTTCTACAGCTTTCAATGTTAGTTTGCATTGTTTTAATGCCATCGTATGCTGCTAACTGGAGGGTGTGTGCTGCACATCTAACCACAGCCATAGTTGATTTGAGGGTATTGTGCACTTCATCATACCCATCATCATCTACGTCATTGGAATCGGAGTCATCATTTGGATTGTTCTGAGGGAAGAAAATTTTTTATCAGTATTAATTATATGTATATTAAATCTTTTTAATGATTCCTAAACTCTAAATTTCTAAGGACTTCTAAACATATCTTACCTGAACTTGACCTTGGGATATTTGAAGCAACTTCGATGTTTTTATTACATTGGCTCCATTATCAGTGGTGCTGGAATAAATCTGGCGAATTTCGATTTTAAATTGGTCCAAGCAATTAAGGATTTCTTGCTTTAAGTTTTCTCCGGTGTGTCTGCTTCTTAATTCCACCATTCCCAAGGTATGAATAATTATTTTATATCCATCGATGTATTGCGCATTAATGCCTAATATATAGGGATTTTGTCTTGTCGCCACATCCATTTTAAGGCAAATAAGCCTCTTTTTTAAATTTTCAGCTATAATACTTTTTGTTTGTCCTGCCGCAAACCCAATTTTGTCCACAATATTTTTTAGAATTTATTTTAAGGTCGAACATTTTTTCGTAAGGGTGTATGAGTTTCTTAAAGTACTTTTCGTCGTCAAAGATACGAAATGGGATACTTTT